GAGAGAGAGAGAGAGAGAGAGAGAGAGAGAGAGAGAGAGAGAATGTGTGTGTGTGTGTGTGTGTGTGTGTGTGTGTGTGTGTGTGTGTGTGTCTGTCTGTCTTCAGGTTCAAAGACTGAATTCTCTGGAGCAAGACTAGCATCCAGTAATTTTTTTCCATTGAACCTTTAGTGATCACAGTAGGCATTCAAAATGTTGAACAAAGATAAGCAAAATACACGAGACAACTATCACTTAGATTACTGTCCTGTTTTAATAATTTACCCATTGGTCCTTGCAGTTTAGGTACTTTCTTCTTCAAGTTTTTATGTAAATTTTGACCGAATTTAAATTAAAATGGACACAGGAATGACAAGGACTTCCCCATCCCTCTCCCTCAGTCAGTGTAAACTGTCCTGTGCACGCACAGGACGGTGTGGAGCCACCTGGGGCTTCAGAGCAGGAGGCATGCCCAGCCCGCAGCCCGAAGCCACCACCCTGGGAGAAGCCCCTGGCCTGCGACCACTACAGTCTGAGACGAGCCATCGAGGTGCTTTGGCTCTGCCTCCAAAGAGCCTCAGAGCCTCATCCCTCCCTCCCAACGAGGACCGCTTGGTTAGCCCCCAGGCATTTTGCGCCTGGGCTGTCACACCAGCTTCTTAGCTTATCTCCCTGCTTTCCATCTGTATACCATGGCCAGAATGACCTGTCCGAATGAGAAGTCCCTTCACCATCCATCCAGCTTAAAATTCTCCAGTCCTTCCTAATAGCTACAGCATAGCAAGTTCCAATTTCTTACCATTTAAGACTCTTTAACAAGTAATTTAACAAGCATATAAGACTCTTTAACATTTCAAACCACATCTCCTGCCATTCATTCAACAGATATTTATTGACTACCTACTACATACAATGAACTGCTCTAGACCCTTTGTGTGTGTATGAGGGAATAACATAACACACACAAACACACACACACACACAAACAAACCGTGGGAGCCTGAACTGCACTAGAGCAAAGTGGGCAGTAGACGTGAATTACACAGCGTGTTGGGAAGCATCATGTGCTATGAAGGGAACATGAGTCTGGAGGGGAGCAGGGTGGCTGGCGTTAGCCTTATTAGTGTGGGATCTGAGGACACACTGGAAAGCGGCGAGGGGCTGAGCCCAGCAGCTTCCTAGGCGAGCATGACGTAGGCGGGGAGGCGTCCGGTGCTAAGGCCCTAATGCGAGGCATGCCCAGGGCGCTCAGGGACCATGGGAGGTCGGTGCGGCTGGAGCAGACTGAACGAGGAGAGGGAAGAGGGAGATGAGGGTGGGAACGGGGGCGGGAGTGGCGGGGTGATCACGCAGAACCCCAGACGACTGCAGGGGCTCGGGTCCTATCTGAGCAATACAGGAAGACTGCAAGTGACAGGAGAGCACAGGTTCTGGCATGACCTGGCAGAGGACTGCTCTGGCTGCTGTGCCGACAGATGGCAGTGGGACACGGGGGGCACGCGGGAACCCCGCTGGAGGCCACTGCAGCGGTCCAGCTGAGGGATAACGGACAGAGGTCCTGCGGGTAGCGGGAAACGGTCAGGCTGCAGGTGCACGATATGTTTAAGGCACAGTCAGTCGGACTGTTCTGACACGTCGGATGTGGGGTCTGAGAGAAGACTCGAGAACGCGGCCAGGCTCGAGCTGAGGACACAGCTGGCGCTGATTCACCGAGAAAGACTGCGGATGGAGCGGGCTTTGGGGGCAACTAGGAGTTCAGTTTTTGACATATCTGAAGTATCTTTGGACACTGAACCAGGCTTCTGGGTTCGTAAGCCTGGAGTTCAAAAGAGGTCTGGCCCAGAGCTGCCGTTTGCTCTTCCTCAAACAAACCCTGCCTCCCAGGCTTGCGGGGTGACACGTGGGTCCCTGATGCGTTCCCCAAGTCTCTGTGCCTGTGTGTCTGTCTACAGTATTCTTACGTCCATCTTTCTCCACTTGGTCAAAAAAACCTCAGCCTTCAAGACTGTCATATATCATCTATTTTATGAAAATGAGATGATCATCATCTCCTGAATCACCCTGTTTCCTTAAGTCATATAATTAACTGTAAGATGTCATGGCTGGTCTTTCAGCATGCTCCAAGGGCTGAATCACTTTAATTTCTTTTTTGGTAAGAAGAAAAGCGGCCATTTCAAACACAGGTGACTTGCCTGCTCACCATCAGAAATCTTCAGAAACCTTTAAAGGAAATGAAGACCACAGAAAAAGATCTTGGCCAGCAGCTCAGTAACCAGATTTTGCATTTCCCATCAGTAGTTATTTGAAGAACACAAATCTTCAAAGCTTTGTATTATATAATAAACTTTACAGGCTAAAAACAAAGAGAGAAACATCTTCTGCCTGTGTTCTAAAGTCATTTTCTGTTATAAAAATTTTTTCATTTTGATTGTCATCCATTTATGCGCCCTGGGGAGGCATTTAAATTAGAGGAATTATTGGACAAGAAAACCAGTCTCTTTGTTTCATTCCCAAGAGACAGATTCTAATCTAATTGAGAAAAGGGGCAAAATTAAAAAGATGATCCAGCTCCACCGGCCTCTTTCATAGACGAGAACAACGAAATCCAGACAGGCTGCTGCTGCCGCCTGACGTGTGTTCTCACGACCAGCTCCTTGGAGCTACAACCTGCTGAAGCGCAGGCTCCGGGAGGCCAGACGCTTTTGTCGTGTTCACCGCTACTTCGCATAGCAAGTGCTGGAACGAACAAATTTATAATTCTAAACTACATGGGCTTGGAATACATTCAGTATTGACTATAAAACTAGTATAATACGTTTCTTCAGGGTTTAAAAATTGCTGACTTTTTGAAAGTCAAAAATTTAGAGTACCTGGAATGTGCAATCATCTTTAAATATTAATTACAAAATGTCAGCCACACACAAAAGTTGGGAAGGAGGGACACGGAAGCAAGATCTCTAACAAATACGTTTATAAAAAGTTCTCTGCAGATCAAGAGAAAAGGATGATATTCTGGCAATATACTTGCTTTTTACAGTATGGTATTTTAGACATTCATTATGGGAAGATTATAGCCTTTGAAAATAAAATAGTATAAAGAAATTATACCTCTTTAGAGAATCAAGATTTATAAGGACAACTAGAAAAAGAAGTTTAAAAAGTCTGATCCCAGACTGTATTAGCACAGTAGCTTAAAATATCCCAAATAAACAGCCCAGGTTCTGAACGTTTTCTTGCCAAAGAAACTCTTCCTTGGGCTTTTTTAAAAACTGAAGTATAACTGACATATAACATTATATTTTGGGGGTACAGTTTTAGGAGTGCAGTATAATGATTCGATAACCACATACATGGTGAAATGGCCACAGAAGTGTGGTTAACGGTAGCCACCACATGCAGCTACAAGTTGTCTTCCCGTGCTGAGAACGTTTAAGACCTCCTCTCACAGCAACTTTCAAATATGCGACATAGCAGCATTCAGTCGCCACGCTGCACACTGCATCCTGCGACTTATTTATAACTGAGAGTTTGTTCCCACTTGGTTTTGAAACCAAACAGCCTTTGAAGGAAGCACCTTCAGCGATAAGCGCAGTGTGCAGGCAGCAGGCAATCTAACGCATGCACTTCGACCCCCCGAGGAAACACCCGTATGACTTTAAAGGCAAAACACCAACCTCTTTAATCTCATGTAGTTTTCACTGGCGGCGGGTCGGCATTCGGCTCTTTGGACTACTATTCCTTCCAATGAAAGCTTATCTTGAATGGAAAGAAAAAAGTAACAAATGCATTCAGAGGTAATATTTATCATTTTCAAGACTGTGTTTTGACACACTAACTTCAGTAATAGAGGTTACAATAAGATATAATTAAAAATAAAACCGAAGACGCAAAAGGAATGTTTCAGAGTTTATAGTAGCATCTGGTCGGAATGGAGGAAAACCTTTTTCTTGGCTAGTAAAAAACCGGGTCCCTGTCAGGCTTATTTAATGGGTGGCTGCAGCCCCCCATGCCAGTAATAGCTTTTATACATTTAGCTCTTTCTAAAGAAGGTGGCTTAGAAGAGCACAAAATCAAAAAACATTTAAGGGTAGCGAGGCGACAGCACCTTAGGCAGAGAAGTAACTTCTGAGAACACAGCAAGTCTACACCACTAAGTCAAAGGTGTGTGTGTGTGTGTGTGTGTGTGTGTGTGTGTGTGTACACATACATATATGTGCAAATAAAACTCTAGAATACATGGCGACTAGACCAGCCAGCCTAGAAAATGCCATGGTCCAGGAAACGCCGTGTCGGGGGCGGCGCTGACTTCTACGCCCAGCACAGCTGTCAGTCTGGGTGAACCCAAACTAGAGTTCAGCTGCCATGGGTGACTGTCCAAACAGAATGACAACTTTTCCTAGCATCAGAAAGAATTTTCTTGGTGACCTGGATACAAATTTCCAGAGAAACAGAACAGGAAAACGGAAGTCAGCACCGACAGCACGCAGTGTGCCTAGCTGGCCGCAGCACCGTGAAGTCACCTGACAGACCTCATGTCATGTCATAAGACATACGACTGTGCCACGAGGGCACCGGTTTGGAAAAGCCTGGCTCCGGTTAGGCATAGCGCTGGCTCTCGCATAGTTCCGTGAGGATTCACCCAGGGTTTGGGCCGAGGCTGAGGACACCCTCTGGCTCGTCAGTAATGCTGGGGATTCGTCCCTTCAGGGCGAATGACTTCATGCATTCCACTCGCGTGAAGTGCGTGCCCACACATGCCGGGCGCCTTCCCCGCATCGTGGAGGCAGGTGGCGAGGATGGCACTGCCCCAGTTAAGCGCGCAGTTCACCGCGGCACACAGAGAACCACGCAGAGAACCACGCCGACAGGATTCACACCAGGAAACCCTTCACGGTGACCTTAACTTTGGCTCCGAAATCTAGGGGACTCCCTCCTGCAGTCCCTGTGCACTAACTGTGAACATGCGACTGTGTAATCCAGTGGTTCGAGGGGCCCGCAGAGCGACACACGTAACAAACCTCAGGTTGCGGCTGTCAGACGGTGGAAAGAGCCGCGGCGGGAAGGACGCCGGCTGCACGCAGAGATGCGCCAGGAGGGGATGACGGCCAGCCCGCGACTCTCCATACCACAGCTAAGCTTGAACATCTAACAATTTCCTCTCATTAACGAGTTTGACGAGATCGAAACTGCAATTTTCTTAAAATAAAACAAACCTTGACTATTCAAGTTTGTCTCACCGAAGCCGAAAGTTCCACCTAGAGAATTTCTTGTCAAGATCTAGGGAAATTTCAATGTATAAAGTGTCCTAAAGGCATGAGAAAAGTCTATCGAAACATAAGTTAGCCCTTTTTAAAAAACAAATACATCCAGAATACCGTCGCTGAGCGTAACCTGCTCACAGACCCACGTGTTTATTAGTGTCGCAGGCCACAGGAGCGACCCCTCCACACCGCCCCGATGCTGCTCACGCAGGCAGCAGCACCTGCTCCACCTGGGCAGGCTGTGCTCATAAACAGTGCAAAGTTTCTGCAGTCTCGTCCTCCATGGATGACAGGAAAGAGAGAGGAGCGTCCAGAGCACCTGGCCATTTCAACGGGGCCACCACGCTCGTCACTATTCTTCAATCAGGGTCACTCACAAAGCAATAAAACGCACTCTCCAAACCACAGTTTTCCGACCATCATACGTTCTTTTCTAACCTAAAGCAGCGTTTAAACGCTTTTCGAGTGAAAGGAAACATCGTAATCATCAGCGACAAATTTGTCCACCAACTGGCTGCTCTTAAGGAATAGCACATTTATCTGTTTGCCTGTTCCTTCTCCTCTTAAATACATTTTAAAAAGCCAATGTGTTTATGATACAGCTCCCTAAGTCAGATTGAAAGCCGTCACACACCTTTTAAAGCTTCACAGGAACAAATTTTCATATTCTTTCCACTAAACCATGCTTCCTCTTCTTTAAAACATTACATTGTGTCATCTCAAACATTTGCACGCCACTGCTATTAATTACAGGTCATACTCATTAATATAGGAACGCTTACTTGAAATTATTTTGTTGGCTCAGTTTGAAAGACTATTAAATACTTGAAAAATAATCCATTTTTTTTTGCTCACACTTGTATCAGATATTTACTGAGTGCCTTTCATGTAACAGATAACGCAGAAACCACATAGGGGAAACAGGCACGCGAGGCCTGGCCCCCGCCCTCAGGGACGTGGGTCTACTGCGGCCCCCACGAGCGGCCGGGTCCCACCAAAGGGCTCTCCGTACCCGAGTTTCACCACCCGAGATTTATCATATTAGACACTGAAGCTGAGAAGTGTTAGAGAATCAGAATGACAAAGGAAAAAGAGCTCGGCGTTACTGCGAAAATCACTTCGACCTCACAGACCCGCTGAAAGGGTGCCAAGGCCTCCTCCGCCCAGCCCGTCCAGATCACACTCTGAGGGCCGCGGGTCTAGCAGGACGCCAGACAGGTGTGTAAACCGTCATTATGCACTAGGAGCACCTTGATGGACCTCCACGTGACACACTTCCAGACTACCAGGGCTCGAGTCCCCTCCTTGAACACAGTGACAGGCGCCCACAGCTCACGGACCCTGGCGGGCAGTCGGTCACCGCTAGTACGCCCACGCGAGACCTTGTTTATGCCAGTTTTACTGCTAGTAATTGTGCAGTTTGATTATCCACATAATTAGTTATGAGTATGGAGAAGGGAGAGCTCCTAAAACTAGATTTAATGCTTCGGTAAGACTTGAGATAAAGGTAAATTGCTAAAAAACTGTCAGATTACACACTGAAAAGACTAGAGACTAGCACTGAAAAGTCTAGGATTCTACATTCGTATTTGTTTCACGGTGTCTAAGTTCTTACTCCTTTTTAAAGAAACCAAAATTGAAAACCTAATCGTGGTTTTTAATTTTCACAAGGAAAAGCAGGTGCTCCCTCAATCGGCACCCTATACTAAAAGCGAAAGCCTTGCCCCACATGACCCTTGGAGCC